TTTCAGAACTTCAATGGGATTCTAGGGAGTTGTGTGGAAGCCCTTTGGTGTACATTTTCGCTCTTTACTATGTTGATTGTTCTGTAGAAGACTTTGTTATTGTATTTGTTAAGATGTGTGACCTGAATAGGATGCTCATTGTTGCGTTTCATGATGCAAGAGTGCTGTTTTGGTTTAGTTCGATGTTAATTTATACTTCAAGAATTACTGAAGGATTTTGACAAAACATACTTCAATTCCTTCCCCTTTTCCTTTTCATTCGTTATCAAAAGTGTATACTATGTATGGACGACAGAAAGCATCCCAAAGCTTTGTGCTGATGTTGTATGGTAAACTAAAATATGAATATTTGTTACTGTGTTACTGTTCTGTAAATAGCCATAAAACAGACAGATGGACAAAATCAACTTAGAACCTCGTACACAAGTGTATGGAATGAGTTTGTCGCACGTTTGCCACGAGTAGAGAGAAGACAACAATTAATACAAATATTTGAGCTTCAGAAGATGTCAAGGATGTCATCCATGTCACTACGAGTCAGTCCTGAATCACTGGTTCCTTTCATGTCTACACCTCTCCACACCACTCACGTTGACATTCGTGGACCTCATGGACTGGTGGCACGGTTTATTTTGTCATCCTGAACTCTCATCCAATCTAATCTAGCTTTTCCTAGCATGTCACGTCGATGTAGGTTTTGGCTTGGCATGCGCAGTACATGTTCAAGTCATCTCAGTCGACTAAGGTTGACAGCTTCATCAATCGACTTGTCTTTTTTGTCTGCTACCCTTCGTCTGACTTCAACATTGCTCAATAGGTGATTCCCCCTAAACCCGGACAATGCTACAAAAACACCTTTCGTCGAAAACCTGTGATCGTTTCATATCTACTTTCGAAGGCTGTTTGTCACAGCCAATCAGAGGAGAGTAGCTCACCATTGTAAGTTTCTGTTTCTGAGCTAAACTTGATTCTGAGAAAATCAAATTTATCTGACAGTGTATGGTGTATGTCACTTTTTGAAACCACGACTGTCATCAGAATTTCTCAGCACATGTTCAAAAACGCTGTCTTTAAATGTACTCATCAAAAGGCTGGCTAATCTATGTGATATAGGTGATCCTATAGCTATGTTATCAAGTTTCTGGTCTATTTTTCTCTTGAAGTGTGGAGTGGTTCATTTATGTGTGAAACGCTTAGGATCAGGTAACATCACTGGTACTCATTGGAATTGTCATTGTTAGTGTTGTATCAGAGTATAATAAATTTCATCAAATGAAATCCTGATATATAATTCATCATCACGAAGAACTATTTATTGTCGAACAGTCAGTGAATGTTGGCGAAAACTGTCTAGCTTTCTTCATCCCGTTTTTACCATATGACTCTAAAGGCATCAGGTGTCGCAGAAAACGCATAACTGTCTACTTTTAGGACTGAGTGTTACTAGCTGAGTTTCCCAAACAACTGTTCATTTTTACACTGGCGCCTTGCCTAGGATCATAGCTTTCTAATCTCGAATGGAAAGTGTAGACCTTTGAGGTCAGCTCAAATTAGGTGTCAGTATTCAACTTCAAGTCAGTGTTTTCATAACAGTGTACTCAGAGTGAGATAGGAAAAACGTGGCTCCTATGGAGCAGCTGATCAACAGCATGTACTATTTAGAAGTGTTTTTCAATTATCAGCAGTTTAGCGGTTGATGACACCTGGAAACTTTACATTTATGTACAAGTAATGTGATTAGTAGTGTTTCTCACTTATCTCTTTTGTGAAAAATCAATACGAATAATTATCTGCTCCAAAAAATTAAACCTACTGTCCATAATGACAGGTTTATAAGAAAAATATAAGGGGATTTGAAAACAGTAGAAAATAAACTGAATAAATAACAAGCAGGCAAAAAGAATTACATTGAAATTTTCCAGACATAACTAATTTAATACTAAAAACTGTCAGTTTCTTTTGTTCGCCAAAAAAAAGGAAATCAAACAACTGAAACAGCGGAGAAAAGAAGTGAAGATTGACTTGGTTGTAGTTAGCAGTGGATTTGAGAAGGGGCATTTCGTCAACTGGATGTGGATGCATCTTAGTGAATGAAGTTGTTTTCATTTGGACTCGAACCTTGTATCCATTACTTCAGACACCAAATCGTTATCCACTAGGCCCCTGAAGTCTGTTTGTTTAAAGTTGACAGTTTTACTTCTGATAAACAATAATGCTCATATCGAAATATTTATATTATAGGGTGAACAATGAAGACTGTGATTCATTAGACCTTAATGACATCTATTAGAAGTAATGAGGTGAACGCAGCTAATCTTTTTCTTTTCTACTTATCACTTGACGTTTGAATTACTTACCATCTAGGAACTGATTCATTTTCACAATCCATTCTCCTTATTAACTAGTTATGGACTAACTGGTAAGTTCTCTGACTTCAGCACTGAATGACACAGATTCAAATCTTCCAGGGGTTAAAAGTTTCCTGAAGGCTGAAGTTATGCCTTGTTGATGTATATGAACGAGTATGATACTTAAGTGAGGTGAAGCCTCCTACTGATTGACTTTCAGCAGGTAAAACGACCCATAAATTGAATACTTCTAGAACCTATATGTTGAAACGAATATCTCATCTTACTAGAAACATTAGTTCCGAAGCAGTTTGTAAACTGCACGCACCAGATAACAAATAAGAGTTATTTTACAAACAAGCAGAAATTTTATAGACTTCAGAATCAACGTTTGACATGATGGGGTTGTATAAGTTGAGCATCAGGTAGATGGATTATCAATGATACATATTTGTTAAATCCCAATAAGATCGAAAAATAAATTTCTGACGTTTGGCTGCCTCGTCGATCACGTTGTTCTTAGCTGATGATAATGATACAGGAATAAATGTCATCGTTATCGGTTATTAGTTTGTGAGTTCAAGGTGAGGATGTGAGTATGTATGGACATGTGAACGGATGTAGAGTAGGAAAATTACTGTGGATGAGAAATTCAATTTCTATGTCTGCATTTACTTCAGTTGTGATTATTGCGCATGAAGTGTTATTTTTGAATATACTGTCCAAGTTGTTTGTTGGACTGTTAGGCATTCGTTTCTGTTGAGTTCATGGGGACTCAACATAATGTGAAACGTCTCAGCTATCCGTCTTTCTCTGGAGTCTCAAAATCCTTTTCGAATAATTATAACATCAATCCTGTGACTATGATAGATGGTATGAACAGTAATTGCCAATGTGATCTGTAAATTCTCTAGTTTTCCAGGATTTTTTCGATGTGTGTAACTTGTATGGTTAAGGATGTGGCAGGATGATTCGCCAATCGATATAGCCTAATCTATAGACACAATTCTGTGTGGATATAAACGGAATTCTAACTTGCAAATGAACCACAACATTCCTAAGAGTGTTAGATGTCTTGTAGAAGGCTCTAACTCGGTGTTTTCTTAAAGTCGCACACATTTATATCTTCTCCTTGAGTTCACTTACTGATAAGCGATAACGATGAAACAAATTCCGATATTATTATCATTATTATTATTATTACATATGAACAACATGATTTGATTTGTCGTCATTTGCTATTGAAACATGCGATAGCTTGCACAGGTTTTATTCTCTGAAGAAGTGATTTCAGCGAGGCAGTGAAACGTCAAAAATTTACTTTACCCCCCGCCATAGGAATTTTATTTTTCATTTATAAGCAGAAATTTTTTTCTTAGGCTCTTTTTTATTCAAAATGACACTATGTTGGAGGTATATTGTGTTGTTCAAAATCAACGTATGTTTGTCTGCAGATCCAGATGTCATTGATGACTTTCTGAAGTGTAAACTTGCATTTTTGTGGTATAAATCTGTCTCCTTTTCCTAAACTTATTCTCACTTAGAGTATTTGCATTTTGACTGTTTCATTCAGTTTTCTTGTTTTAAAAATACTTGAAACATAAACATCTGTGCCTTATAGCTTAGAAGCTCTTTGTCAACTGTTGCTTCACTTTTGACACTAATTGTTCTTCATGTTAGGAATCAACTAACAGAAAAGTTTTGAATCTAGGTTTCATGTTTCCTGGTTAGTACCTCACTAGCAAAACGTTTCTGAAGCCATGAGGAAACTGCCGCTCCAGCTGTGACCGATTTGAAAACGTAATTTAATTGTGTCTGGACTACCTAATTCCTAAGGTCTTTATTTTTTTCATTGAATTGTACAAGTTTAGGGTTTCCTACTGATTCACCCCTCACATCTGACTGCAAACTTCATTGAATTGTTTCGTTTTTTTTTCAACAAGTTTAGCAGCCAAATTGCAAAGTTCGATTGGTGCTGAGCACTGTGCAGTAGTGAAAAACTTCAACTGAGAACTGATTCATATCGATGCAATGGACAGAAAAGGTTTTTGTTTAAAAGAAGTGGAATCCATATGTTGTTCGCAGTAGATGTAAAGTATTTATTAGCTTAAAGATGAAGATAAATCACCAACGTCATTTTTGCGAATGGGCATTTTTCAAAGTAATCACATATAATAAGAATTTTCAGCGGGGAACATACAAATGTTTAGCTATTAGAAAAAGGAGAAAAGTAGCTTAGTTTTGAACTAAACAAAACCACCTGTATTAAACAATCGACAAATAAAGGCGATCTATGTATCTTATAACTCAGTCTAGAGGTATGTGTAGATTTTTGTTGACCTCAAGTTGGCATTCATTATGGACTGATATCGATTTGAGAGGTATTGAAAACTTGGAAACACTGGACAATTGCTTGATCCAAATATGTGACTCAACAGTACACACCCAGAACCTTCAGGTTTCGTGGTGAACATGTTACCATTGAGCCACTGGATTAGAACTATGATTACTTTATCAAAGATGCATCTCTTCAGAAAGAACACTGAATCTTGATTTTTATCTGCTTATTGGAATAACAATGTTAGGGAACAGATGGATAATTTGTATTCTTCATATTTCCTTTTGACTGTGTTTTTTTGTTGCTTAATCAAGATATTGCAGCAAAGTTCACAGGAGTCAAAAGTAAAAGAGGAAACTAGACACCCGACGATCAAAGAGTCAACAGAAAATGAATCCTATGCAATAGACGAATTGACAGCGACTGTTATCGATTCAGTCACTGTGTTACATGAACCGGGAAAGTAAGCTGACCATTTTTATTCCTTCCTCTATGTAACATCTTTCATAGAGTCATTTATCATTGCCTATTGACCATCTGTTACTGTACAGTTTAGTTATCCTCAGTCATTGGGTAGCAAGTTGTAACCAATATTGGTCAGTTAATTGCATGATGTTGATTGGAGTTATTAATTTCCTTTGGTTTATCTGACTCGTTCTATGTTGATGAAGGAGCAGCCTAACCCATTACCGCTTCAGTATCATTATGATGAGTCTCATTCTGATTTCATATACACTGTTCGCATCTTTTTAATTAACCCTGGTTAGTCTACCACTTGTTCAGCATAAAAATTAGTGTTTTTTGTCACGAACTGAGGACCAAATGAAAAATTGGCACCTTTTTCCAGTTGTGTTCTTTTGAGATTAGGACTTCTATCCAATCCCTTTAAGTTAGAGATCATATCTAATTCGATGTCAGTTTGTGATGGAGACCACCTTGAAATCAATAAACTGAGTTTAGGTAGCAACTATACCAAGTGGGATAAAAATGTTGTTCTGCACAAGAGATTTTTTTGTATACTTCTGAAATGAATTCAGCTGGCAATAAAATTGAGTTTTCCTGATAACAACATCTAAGCAGCATTAGTGAGTTACAGGTTGATGCACAGAGATCAATTAATCTAGTAGCTAACAGGATACCTACAGTATTTCCTGCCTATCATTCGATTTGACTGAGTAGACCATATGAAATGTCACATTCGGTTGGCAGGGATTCAGGCAACAAGTGATCATAGAACAAAAGTCATAGAAACTGGTTAAGTTAAAAACTGACCAAGTATGAAACTATGTCACTACCCTATGTCTATATAAATATATGTTCAGATCGAGTTGTGGTATTGGCTGCGCTCTTAGTTGGCAGACGTTTCGTTGTCATTCCGGGAACCATACACACCTATTGTAAAAGCAAACTCTTCTTTTGGCAAGTTTCCTGAATATATGCTGCTGCTTCTGATGATTTTGTGGATACTATGTCTCCAGTAAAGAGGATAATAATACAAAGGTTTAAGAAACATCTATCCTCTTCCCATTACATTTATATACTTGCTCATTTTTATTGTGTTTTCCACTGATATGATTTCTTCCTGTTGAATTGTTGTTAAGTCACTTATCAGTTCGTATTATTTCAAAAATATAATCGACCGTAACGTGTTATTCACAAAGAACTTTGTAAAGAATTCCATTCGTTCTTAGAGTGTTGGCTGCGTAAATCCACTTGAGAAGTGGTCTGATGGTTTTCTGAATATTCATGCTATAAACTTTGCAGGTTTAGTTTTCATATTATCATTTGTCCCTTGGGTTCCTAATGGAACATACGGCTTCAGTAGCACGTCCACACTGTACTCTGTACTCTGAAATCCTATGAACCTGGTTCCACGACAGCCACAAGCTCTCATTTCTTCCTAACACCATCTCCTCCATGTAATCCTCGCCTCGTACGCCCAACTCATCGCTTCCCATCCCGGTTCCACTCGAGTGTCTGGCCTAGCGCGTGATGTCTCCGAATGATCTTCTCAGTGTATGCTCAATCCAATCCATCTCCACTTCCTTCCAGTGCATATTTGTTGAGTGATAGGTTGTTGGTTGGTTCGTTGCCAGCCAGCCAGCCAACCAGTCAGAGTGAGTTCCTTGTTGCTTATTCCTATTATCCTGGCAATCCATCTGATCTTGAGTAATGAGCCAGCGTAGGTGGCAGTTGTTGAAGAATGTGTGTAGTTTGTTGGAAGTGCCTTTCTTAACGCGCTGTCAAGTCTCTGAACCATGTAGAAGCACTGACTTGACGTTGTTGAAAATCCAGATCTTGTTCCATATGCTGAATGCAGAAGATCTTCATACTGGTTTCAGTTGAACAGATGCCTGTCTTGCTGTTCCGATCCTGAATTTGACGTTTTTGTGTGTGCCGCCTGTATTTGCAACAGTGCTGTCTAGAGAGGTGAAAGAGACTACTTCCTTTCATATCATTGAAAAGCTGAAATTTTGAGCAGATACATATATTTGTTAAAGTTTTATCAAACTAAGCCTTTAAATACGATTATTTAATCACAAGAACAAGTCAAGTGGCTATAAAATTTCTCATAAACAACTTATTTATCAAAACTTCAGTTTGAGGGGGTGATCTTACTGAAATTTTTATTCACTGATTATGACTATCCCGTAGAAAGGTGTGTTCTTCAGAATCACTATGAAGTTCACCTATGCAACTATATTAATTGCATCACCGTAGTTGAAGAACAGAATTTATTATTTTCATACAACACTTCACACAAATAAATCCGACTCATTATAGGGTGTGTGATGAAATATACTAAGAGCATTCTACCTACTCGTTTGACGAAAGGTGAAACTGTGACTGTCACTATGCGTAAACATTTATGCTTAACCAGTACCGGTCGTACAGAAGCCAAAAAAAATCGCCTTTTCAGCAATACATAGAATATTTAACAATCGATCACAGATAATAGGAATCCATCTTTATGATAAAAATAACCCAGCAGCAGATATTAACAATCTTGATTTCCCATGGTCCTCATGAAACTGAGGTGCATAATTAATTTGATGAAGTCGTTGAATTTGAGGTACTATGGGGATTTAGAGATTTTTCAAGTTGTTTTTCATCATGGGCTGAAATCGGTTGGAGGAACAATAGAAACTTGGAAATACTGGACGGCTGTTTCGTCCTGGTATATGACTCTTCAGCAGTGGGCTACCACGGCCCCTACTTCTGGAGGTCGAACCCGCGACCTTCATTCGGTCGAAATCCAATGGTCCATATTTCCAACTAAATCCTCGAAAACCCCCAAATTCATTCGACCTAGTGCTCATTGATGATTAACTTTAAGAGGTGATTCTCGAAGTTCCAATGAGAAGTCATGATCAGGGGAGCAAACCTGGTGGCAATGCGGACAAATACTCATCGGCGACATTGGGTGATGATCGCGCTATGTTGTGGACTAACTGAAGTTGGGAATATGAACCATTGGATTCCGACCCAACACCTTAAGAGTAACGTGCTGGCCACGGAACTTGAAGGTCGAGGGTTTGATCCCTGGTGGGGTCGTGGGTGCGCACTGCTGAAGAGTCTCACAGTAGAATGAAACAGTTGTTTGGTGCTCCCAGGTTTCCATTGTTTCTCGAACTGATGTCATTTCATGATGAATACCAGCTTGAAAAAGTTATCCCGATAAAATGATAAACAGATGTAATAAGAAAAGTGACTAACTCATTTACAGAGTGAAAATCAGACGAATTCTCGACTACTTCTTATCCCAAAAGCACGTGTCAACCAACAGGTACATGCAGAAGAAATTGAATCAGTAGAACAGAAAACTACTTGTCTGGTAGAAAGTCGGTTAAAGATGTGCTTAGAAGTCCTATATCCTTGGACTTTGTTTTCACTTACCATTATGACAGTCGATTTCAAAGAACATAACATTCATTCGATACAAGAAAGCATCCTCACTGTGACATTCTTGAAACTATCACTACCAGTTGAATCCAACTGAAATCCTGCGTTCAAAATGATAGTTACGCCTGAAAAATTCTCCAAATTTACTCGTCTTTGTAAATGTTTAACCCCTTTAATACTTTTCCGTATTTCAAGGTAGTATTCATCACGAATTGATTTCAGTTGGAGAAGTAGTGGAAAATCAGGGAGTAGTGGACGGTTGTTCTATCCTAGTACTAGATTTCTTAGCAGTGATACAGCCCATTGCTTTATTTGTTATTATCAAGATAGTTTATTTCATCCGCTAATCATTTTAATATGGGGAACTTTTTCTTACGATTACTTTACTACTTCTACTTACACCTAAACGAATCTCTTAATCACTCTAAGATATTCTTCCTCATTTTTGCTTCTTATAGATGTTTCTATCTTGAGTGAATTTGATTATTTTAACTTTTTTTAGAAATAGAATTCCAGTTTTGTGTGTGTAACACTTGAAAAGAATCGTTCATACTAACAATGTTCCACAAATCAGTTACAATCTATTTCAGTTTAAATTAATCTCTATTATTATTATTATTATTGTGTCTCTTGGGTTCCTGTTCGAACATACGGGTATAGAAGCATGTCACCATTTCAATCTGTTCTCTGTAGTCTTTTGAACCTGGCTCCACCACTGCCCACAAGCTTTCGTTTCATCCTCGTGCGATCGCCTCCATGTCACTCACGGACGCTCAACTCGTCGTTCGCCATTTGGTTTCCACTCGAGGACCTGGACTGGGTCGTGATGTCCCTATACGGTCTCCTCAGTGTATGTCCAATCCAATCCATCTCCACTTTCTTATCCATATTTGTTCAGCGATACGTTCTTGGTTGGTTCGTCTCTTATTCTTATTATTCTGGCCATCTGATCTTCAGTGTCAGTATTAAGCGAGCGTAGGCAGTAGCTGTTGATGTATGTGTGCAGTTTGCTGGAAATGCTTTTCATAACGCGCTGTCAAGTCTCTCAACCATCACATGGAAGCACTGATTTGACTGAATTAGTGTTGAAAATCCGGACCTTGTTGACGCTTTGTACTGAGTGCAGTCGATCTTCACACTGATTTCAGATTAATTCAGGAAGACCTGTCTTGCTGTCTTTCCGATTCTGGGTGTTTTGACATCCTCATCTGTGCCACTGCCGCCTCTAGTTGAAGCGATGCTGCCTTGCCTAGGTAGGTGAAAGAGACTACTTCCTTTAGATTTCTCCCGTTGATGGTGATTGGTTCTTGTTGTTATTGGTTGGGTATCTTCATCACTTCTGTCTTCTGTACGTGCACCTGAAGGAAGTCCCGTCTTCCTTCGCTGCCTCACCTCTTCTACCAACTTGTTAGATTTTCCTCTAGATCAAGTTTGTGCGACAAAACATTAGACATAAATCATCATCGGTGGCGAAATCCAAACCTCCTAGGGTCCACACATGATTTGTTCTTCCTGAAGCCAACCATTCAGGCAGCCAACCAGCCAGCCAGTTCCGGTCGT